CTCACTCAGTTGTTGGCCAGACTGGAGTGCAGTGGCGCGATCCTGGCTCACTGCAACCTCAAACTCCCGGGCTCTAAGCCATCCTCCTGCCTGACCCTTCCGAGTAGCTGCGGCTACAGGCACAGGTCAACCCGCCCGCTCATTTTTTAAATTGTTTTGTGGGGGGGGTGGGGGAGGCTCATTATGTCACCCACGCTGTTCCTGGACTCAAGAGATCCTCCCCCCTCAGCCTCCCCTAAAGTGATTACAGGTGTGAGCACCGCACCCACCCATTGTGCATTTTTTCTAATCACTAGATGAGGAAAGCACAATGACCATGTAGGGTCTGCAAAGTTTTTAATGTTCAAGGGGCTGTCCATTTTGAAAGGTGTAAAGGAATTAACATATTTAGGTGCATTCACAGGAAAGAGGAGAAAGAAATTCTAGCACAGCACAGGGGTCAGGAAACTTACGGCCCACCACCTGTCACTGTCAAGTTTCCCGGGAGCCCAGCCTTGCAAGTGGTAGACATGCTGCTGATAGCTGCTCTGCAGAATCGCTGGGACTAAGGCCACAGGTCCAGAAAGCTTCAAATGGTCACTACCGGGCCCTCCACAGAAGAGTCTGCCCACTCTCCATACATTGTATGATGAAATACACTGCATTATACTGAATATTAAAAAAAAGAAATATACTGCAACTATTGAAAAATAAACACAAACTGTATATACAAACAGGGAAAGATGTTCAAGAAATCATGAGAAAGTTTTATTTTAAACTCTGCCTGCCTTCTGAGGCCAGCAGGCCCCGTTCATTTGGTTTTGCTGGGCTCCAGTGAGAAAGGAATTTCAGTTCTTGGGAAGAATGAACCCTGGGAGGGTAAATAGGACCCTGGGCAACACTGTCTACGCAGCGTCTCCGGCATGGGCCTGAACAGGACCAGCAGCCCCTGCGTTACTTATGCAGGCAGTCCCGAGGCCACAGGCAGCTGAAAGCTGTGCAGGAAGCGCCCCTTTTCCCCACCCAGGGTCTGAGCAGCATCAAAACTCAAGAGTAAGAACAGAGGCCAAACCACTACCGTGGTTTGCAATCAGCTGACCTACACTGAACCCCAGAATCAAGCAGACAGGCCCACCGCGGATGGGCCAGCTTCCCAGGTTGAAAGGCCTGCCCAGGACAGCCACCAGAACAAAGCAGAAAGGGCCGCTGGCTAAGCCAGTCATTCTTCCCAAGTGAATAATTAGACAAGCGCCGCCTTGGGAGGCCAGAAGCATGTTTAGAGGACATTCCCTCCTCTTGGAAGCCCTGTGTCCCCTAGGGGACTCTTCAACGCCCACCTCAGTGCAGTCACACAGGGAACGGCTGGCGGCTGGGCCACCCTGGCGGGAACCCAGGACTACCTCACACTTCCCCACACCCACCACCCAAAGCCACCCACCGCCAACCTGCCCCTTAACCCAACGGTATCAGAGCATCTTAAAAGCACAACCGCTAGACTCTGAGAGCTGCTGTGTCAGATAAGAAGCAGGCCCCGTGGTGACAGACCACACACGGACGCAGCTGGCTCCTGGCTCCCTGGCAGTCCGCCTCTCTCCTCACAGTTCAGCACTTTATTCAGAAGAGCATTAGACGTGCTATCCAGACAGCTTGTCCACCTTCACTCACAGCCTCACAGTCCCAGAACCTGTGCTGCCCCCTGCAGAAATCCTGCACGTCCTGGGGGCGGCCACCGCCCCAGGCCACGATGACGCTCTTCAAATTAACTTCTGTTTCTGTAGGAAAAGCAAAAAGAAAAGGATGACGTTCCTAATTGTTGAGTAGATGCCACTCTCGACTCTAAACTATATAAATTTAGTCCATCAAACCTTAGTCTAAAATGTGTGACTAACACCCCACCAGAGGAGGTGACCAAACGCACTTTGGTGAAATCAGGTAAAAGCTGTTTGCAAACTGTGCAGGGTCTTGGCAGATGCCCTGAGAATCTTTAGCTCTTCCGTCCACAAGGATTCCACCAAAGTTAGTTGATTTATTAGGGCCTCTTTTTCATCCTTCATATGCGACACCTGAAAGATATTTTTTAATTATTATTATTGCAGTTATATATATATATAT